TCTGAATCTCTGTGTCTTCTCCCTTTAAATAATTTCCACGGACAAAACAAACATCATTCTTGTTTCTGAGGAACTTTCCAATGGAAAAGATATCGATGAAGGAATTGTCTTTATTCCATATCTTGTTTCTTTATGCATTGATGGCTGCTTGGATTTGTTCCAGCGTTTTCCCTTTTGTTTCTGGTACCATGGTGATCACAAACACTATAGAGAGCGCGTTGATGACAGCATAGATAATAAAGGTACCTGAAAAACCCAGAAACAATAAAAGTAAATCTGCATCACTTTTTGATCTTTTCATATCATCCCATCAACAATATACATATAGCTATCTTATGGGAACTTATGAACAGAATTGACTTTTGAGATTTTTTCTGCTGCTATTTGCTCCGAGAAAACTATGATCAATCTCTTCTCATCATATGTTTCCTATACCTCAGATTATACAACTTTTTGCTGTCCAACTAGCTTGATTTACATCATTACTGCATCAATCCTTACTTACCATGATGAAATGCTTATAGAAATTTGAAGTCTATTTACCATAGGAGCTCCAGCTCATAAGGAAGTTGAAAGTGTAGGAGATCACCCAAGCACCAAACCAGTTCACTAACGTTGCTAGCCCGCCTGCTATACCTTTGATATTTATTGGGAATATCTGCAGTAAGAGATTTTCTTTTTTACTTACGATGGTAAGTGATTAGATAGATTGTTGTTCATGAGATTACATCTCTTTAACTTTCATTTACCTCAGACATGATTACCCATGGAACAGCACCCATTCCTGCTGAAAAAGATCCTATGTATATCTGACCCCAAAATTGAAGTATAGACATCATATTCTAATTTCGACAATTTTTTGGTGAAATAGTACATAATGTGGTTTAAAGCTGATATGTATTACCAGTATTCCGGCTACTGCAAGAATCGGAACTGACTCAAGTGCCAAGTCATGAGCCTGGTTCAGAAAAGTTATTTAACAAATATTTTCATATGTGAGAGCAATAGAGGAAGTACTTAAGGTATATAGGTTTTGGCCAAGTACCTTAAAATAGAATGAAAGTCCAGTTAGTAGGCATCCGAAGACCAATCCTACTGCAGAAACCTGCAGAAACGAAGTAGAAAAGGAAAAGGGTAGGCTTTGCTTGCACAAATGCAGAAAATTAACAGATTAGAGTTTAGTTTTTTGACAATAGGTTACCAAAATTAGAGGCTTTCTTCCTGCTCTATCCACCACAGGTGCATTAAGGCCAGTAATCACCACCTGTAAAAAGGAAAAGAATCGTTTCCAGCTCTTCCTATCACCCAGAAATACTTTTGATATCCAAGGAATCACCAGAGCTACTAGAGATAGTTATAAACCTGGATACATGCATATGTTATAGTCCCAATGCTAGCTGGAAATCCTGAAATATAACAAATACCAAAGTTAAAAATACTAGAACTATGTCTAATATCTTTTAATCATCTTTTTCATGTTTCTTGACATGTTGAAAGCCATTTTTTGCATGTTCTCTTACCTGCTTGCTCAAATATATTGCTGGTATAAAAGCATATTCCATTGATTCCACCAAATTGTTGAAATACCATCAATCCGACTCCTATCTGCTCACAAAAGCATTGATTATCAGGAGAAGTAAATTACCTAGAGTTACTTGTTTATGAAGCAAATTATACATTTCTACGTCAGAAATTACTAAAAAGCTGATAAAGATAAACAGGATTATGTAGCCGATTTGTGGAAGATTATTTACAATGACAGAGCACAGGTATCTTCTGTGAAACAAATCGAGCACTTTCGCCTTTGGTAGCCTTTCAAGTGTTTCTATGTAGTCCTGTCAAGTAACAGAAGTGAATTCTAAAGTATTGCTTCTTGATACTCTTGAATCTTGATACACATATTCTCTATACAGATTTTGTTATCAATTTTAGAAGCAAGAACCTGGATTTCTGCTGCCTCTTCTGATATATCAGCATCCTTGCCACGAAGCTTTTGCAGTGAAGCCTTGAACTCCGTTTCACGTCCTGTTTTCGCCTGCACTCACCATAATCATTCCCCCTGTTGAGATTATTGTCACTGTAATGAAAAACACATTTTTTGGGGCTACTTCTTACAAGCCATCTCGGTGACTCAGGAATGTAGAAGAGTCCAAGAACTAAGATGGCACATGGGATGATTCCTGCAAGTAAAGTTATCTGTCTTTAAGATTTTCAGTGTCCTATAATTTCCAGTAGTTGGATGTAATAAATGGATATGGTGAATATACCAGTTAATGCTAAAACTCTCCATGGCAATAGAGTGCCTATTATGAAGAAAACTGAAACTCCAGTACAGATCATAAGCTGCAGGGTTGAAAATGGTGGAGATTGAAAGAAACTGTAACGACTTACTTAGAATTTGTTATTAGTAACCAACTCGTCATCAGGTTATCCTTATTATTACCTGATTGATGGTTGTTAATGCTCCCCTAAGATTCTTCGGTGCAATTTCAGCTATGAAAATTGGTACCTTGTGATCAATCAAGGAATTTCATCAAGGTTGTTAGTAGAAATTTTATAATCAATCTTGTACCACAGAAAAGTTATGTTAAAAAGAATGAACTTGTTAAAGACACAAGAATTTGGTACCACATATGAAAAAGCTCCCATGCCATATCCTGTTGCCAATCTTCCAAAGTCTAAAGCCACTGCACCCTTTTTATCAGGCATAGAACTTACATGTTAGATCAAATTTCTATGGAGAAGAACATGGATTTTGAGATCAGACCCACCTGAGCAAAGTAAATGGCAAGCCACCCAGCAACACAAACAACTGAGTAAATTCTCATTGCCTGCTTACATCCCAGTTCAAACCACCCAAAAAAACCATTAATCAAAAATTAACATTGGTTGATCCAGAGAAATTTTCTAGTTTGGTGATGCATACCCATTTCCTCCCAACAAAATCAGCAATTGGACCACTTGTGATTGCCCCAATCATTGCACCAAATGTCAATATGGAACCAAACACTGAATACTGCAAAAAAGCCACACCTCATAAGATCAAACCAGCTTTTCTTTCTCCTTTCATGTAGTCATAATCAAGCAAAACTAAATGTTTATACCGTGAATGGTTTTGACATTCTTAAGAATAAAATGGTTACAGACCCTTAATTTTTTATTGTTGAGTCATACTCCAAACTCTTTGGAGTATTAGGGGACTTAATTGATAATTTGAATGATTCGAAAATACTTTTACATGGGTTGGCACTTCCATGGTGTCCATAATAACACAATTTACACTTTTATTTCGATAAAAAAAAGCTAGATGTTTATCCCATATTTTGAACAAATTACAATGAGCTGCTCAACATTTTTAGCGCATTCTTATCCTTATTTCTTTCCCTGAAAAATGAAGACAAAACCAGATTGTTTTTCCAAAACAAGCAACCATATATTTATGGATATGTATGTGTATATATATATATATATGTGTGTGTGTGTTTATTATACCTCTGCCAGAGAAAGGGACAGTTCTTCTCTAATTGCAGACTGTGTAGGCGATGAATAGCCCGCCTGAAAAACCAGCAGATCACAAAATTAAACTGCAGAATTACCACAAAACAAACCCTGTTCTATCAGAAAGGAGACAATTTAGACACTTACACAAGTTCCAAATTCGAAAGAACCACACACTGCAACAAAGGTGCTCAGGTAAATCATCCATGGATTCCCTTCCTTGCTTGAACCTTCTTCTTCTTCAGTTCTGCTCTTCTTCTCTTTCTCCTTTTCCCTAATGAGTGGCTCTGTTAGCTTCCCGTGCACAGCAGTCTCCACATCCTCCTGATCCACCGCCATGTCTGATTCCTCACAAGGCTGAACGTTTCTGTATCTGCTTAGCAAAATTTGGGCCGGTGAAGAAAAATAGTTTCAGGTTTACCGAAGAAGAAGAAGAAGAAGATATGTGGAACAGATAAAACCAAAAGAACATGCATATATGATATCATGCTTTTAAAATTTGCCAGCAGTATGTGCCTACCATGAAAGCTGACTGTTATTACCTTTCTTGAACTTGTGCCTTGGCTGTACATGCTCTCTTCTTAACAATGTAGTGACTTTTGATTTTAGATATTATTCTTAAAATAGTTATAACTAATTACTTCATTTTTATTAAGTTTTATGCACTACAAAAACATTTTTATATATGCATCTTCATCCTCATCAGTTAAAACATTTGTTTTTATTTTGTTTGAGTGTCAACACCATCGGCTGCCATTTAATTCAAATTGATCCATTATAGGTACGGCTTGTTTTGTAGTGTAGTAATCTTTCAGAAGAGAGAAACAATCATTTTCTTCATTTTTTTTTTTAATTTCTTCCTGTAATTCTTGTTTTTTTCCTTGTGGGTAGAAAATAATATACAATATATATATGTATATATATACTATATAAGAATCAAAATTTTTGTCTACCAAGAGAGTAGAGAAAATTCCTTTGAAAATTGTTTATAAAATATCTTAAAGATAAAATTTTTAATTAAAAAAGAAGGAAATACCCTCTCTGCCTCTCTCTCTCTCTCTCTCTCTATATATATATATATATATATATGATATTCTCTTGTTCTTAAACCCATGTATTGAATTTGGAAGTTTGAAAAGTCATGCTTGACAAGAAATTTTCAAGTACTCATATCTTGATTTGCCATGTGTGGCTGTACAACTTACACATCTTCAACAAATGAAGTGATCCATTATGAAAAATAATTATAAAAACTTTACCTTTATAATTAAATTTTATTATAATTTTAAATACAAATAATACACATTTTATTAATTAAAGTCTAATCCCAATTTTCCCAGGCTGCTTGGATATTTCAAGATGGTGGGTCAACTGTAAATTTCACCAGTCAATATTTCTCAGGCTGCTTTGGGTATCCAAAGAATGGTGGGTCATTTGTAAATTCACCAGTCAACAGTCAGCCAAATGAATCTTGTGAGTGTTCGGTACTCTCTCAGAGAAGTTACCATATGCTCCTGGATCACAACACTGGGAAATATGATTACCACAACTCATATTTTCATCAGGAGATTATCAGAATCTTTGTTTTTCTAATCAAGTTTTAAGCATTTCAATCAATGTACATATATAGATATATATAGATGGAGTGCCAAGAATCAACTGTTTTATTGAAACTTCTAATGAATTTTGTAAACATACATCTGAAACTAGCAAGTGTTACATATATTTACAGAGCTCTCACCTGCTAGCAAAACAACAAATATGCACCAAAAGAGAAAAAGACCAGCTTCCTCATCACCACAAAATAGCTGCTTGGGCACCAAATTCCAAGACTCGCCGAAGAACAATCATATATCAGTACCAGATACCTAGTGGGTCATGAATGATACAATACCAGTACCTCTTACTTTGGACCTTTGGATCGGTGTCCAGCAAGAGTTGCCACGATCAAACTATCACTAGTGTATTTGTGGGAGCTCAAAACTCATTCTGCGGTCGAGTTTTTTGTCTAGACTCCTGCTCTAGACAATTTCAACACAACCAACTCGATATAAGTCTGCAAACCCAGTCATGTTCTTTCTGTGAGTGTGTCATTTGTTCCAGGAAGGTCATGTCCCATTACTTCCCTCCATCTTAGCTCTGGAACAGATTGGGTTTTCTTCTTCGTTTTCTGGGCTTAGGCTCATGAGTGTTTCGGAATAACTCTTTGGCTATTTCTCTGAGGAACTAACATGTTGTGTTGTTATATGTTTGACAAATGAATGGTAAGAATTTGTACTGTTCCTCTATATATCACTTGATTTGAAAGAATCAAGTTAATTGTACATTGGTAATATTTTTACAAGAATTGAATGATTCTAGCTCCAGGAACCTTGCACTTCGAATGAACAAATGAAATGAAGGGAAGCATACCAATCACTATTGGAGGCACCCAATGAAGAGTTACAATGACCCTTTTTAAATTTGTTGGCTGGAGCCAGAACTTGTTCCTTCTTCCTTCCGCCCAAATGAATGATCAGCTTCGAATGTAAAGGACTGATAGCCAGTAGGACTAAACAGCTGACCAGAGCCATTACTGCCAACAGACCGCTCAATATCATAAATATCAGAAACCAAAGGAATTGGGCGTTCAGGGATTGAGGGAAGTGACAAATCAGTCTCCAACATTTTCAAAACTTGATCCATTGTGGGTCTAGCATATAACACAGGATGAGAACAAAGAACCGCAACCAACACATACTTCTCCAATACTTCCGGTACAGCAGGTTCCGGCATCCCATCTTCAATTACATCCAAAACTCTTCCTTCCCTCACCAATGACCAAGCCCAGTCAGTCACCAGCAATGGTTGGCTCTCAGCTTCCATCTGCAACGCCTTTCTTCCACTCAAAAGCTCAAGAAGCAAAACACCAAAACTATACACATCACTCCTCTCTGTCAATTGACCATACAAGGCATACTCAGGAGCAACATAGCCCATTGTGCCTGCCACCCGGGTGCTCAAATGTGTCATTCCTTCAGGTGTAAACTTTGCAAGACCAAAATCTGCTACTTTAGCCTCAAACCTGTCGTCTAAAAGTATGTTGCTTGCTTTAATATCTCTGTGAATTATGGCTGGTTGTGCTCCATAATGTAAATAAGCTAACCCTCTTGCTGTACCAAGAGCAATCTTTTGCCTCATTGGCCAAGTAAGTTTCCTACCCTGAGACCCAAACAAGTGATCATAAAGACTACCATTCTTCACCAAATCACAGACAATTATCCTCTGGTGACCCTCAAAGGAAGTAGTAGCAGTACAGTATCCTCTCAAAGCCACAAGATTAACATGTCTAACACTTGCAATCACCTCAACTTCATGACTGAAACTGGCATCACCAGTGGCTGAGCAGTTTTTGAATCTTTTAACTGCAATTTCAGTCCCATCAGGCAACTCACCCTTGTACACATTCCCATACCCTCCTTTCCCTATAATGTTCTCTCTTGAGAAATTCCTAGTAGCTTTCTTGATTTCATCAAAAGTGAACTTCACTAAAGTAGAATTCTCAGTAATGGAGCTCAACCCATTATCCAAACCAGTCTCCACATTACCCACCCTCTCTCCCTTCCGCCTTCTCTTCTTGGAATCCAAACGTTTTCGCCATAAAAACCAGAACCCACCAACAATCACCACCAACCCACCACCAGCAATCAAAGCAGCCATTATCACCACTTTTTTCTTCTTACCACCAGAATGATTACCCCCCAAATCAAGCGAAAACAAGCATTTTACAGTACCTGCATCGTCGGGACCAAACGAGTTGACAATAGCCGCCGCGTAGATTGACGGGTAGGCCGTGCAGTCGGAGACGTTTCCGACAGAATTCCCGGAGAGAAACGAAGCCTGGAGGCTGGACAAGCTGGTTGTACACGCGGCGCAAGGGGAACTATTCTCCAGCGACTGGTTGCATCTCGAAACGACGTCGCTGAGCGTAGAATCAGGGATTAGAGTTTCAAACTGAGACCTGGTCGTGATATTCATGCAACCCTGTGATATCCAACTAGTCTGGAACCCGCAGGAGGAGCGGATATTGAAGCCCGGGAAAACATCGTCGATGACCGACTGGTACGCAACCCAGCAAGATTCAGACGAATTGAGCGGAGGAAGGAACGACCCGGTACGCCGAAGGTAGTGAGACTCGACGAATCGCAGTCCTTGGAGGATATAGCGGCAAGTTTCGGTAGTCTGTCCGTCAATGGAGTCAGCCACCCGGCGCATGACCGAGAAGTCAAGAGGGCAGGAAACGGTGCCGTTTTTCTGTGCAACCGAAAAATTCACCAGAGATAATAGTAAAAAGAACAGGAAGCTTCGTGGGGTAGTCATCGTTGTTGCTGTAATTATCTCATGAAACCAGAGATCGAAAGAAGAGAGTGTTGTTTCTGGAGAAGGAAGAAGGCGGGTTGTTGGAATAGCAGTGGAGAGAAGGAAGGAGAAGAGGGGTGAGGCGGAAGTCGCCAGGTTGACACTTGGCTGCAGAGTAGAGTTGACAAATAGAGGTGGGCGCCCAATCGGCCATCGCAACTTCTTGGAAAGATGCCATTATTTTTGCTGGAAGTAGTTGAGGTTCTTCTTATGATTCATTTTAATTTATAAATAAATAATAAATGTTTATCTATTTATCTATACGGTGCGTTTTGGCTGCCTCTTGTCTCCATTCCACTCAATTATTAAGTAATCATATGCAGGCCGGGAATCATAACTGTAATCTATTAAAATATTTTTATTATTAATAATTTATAATAAAAAATTTATAGTTATTTTTAAAATTAATAATTTTTCACACAATATTTGTTATGTAAATTACTAAAATTATTTTTTAATTTTTTAATTATGAAAATTATTCTTTTTGTAATAACTGGATTTACAATAAAATATATATATATATATATATATATATATATATATACATAGAAGGAGGGGGAAGGGGGGGGAGAGTGAAAAGGCATAGTTCAGATTAAGGTACTGGAATGGACGGTTGGAATGATTTAGCAGGTTGGATATAAATAGGATGAAGAGAAAAAAAGAAAGAAAAAGAGGGGGATAAAAGAGGATAAGAGGCAGTCGATCGAGGAATAGGAAGAGAACTGGAGAATGAGGAGACAATTAAGGTGATTGAGTGAGTTATGCCTGTGTTGAGGACAAGTTATGCCTGTGTTGAGGACAATGGAGGTAAGAGGTATTATAAACTCAAATTTCAAATACTGAAATGACAATTTATAGTTAAATTCCTGCCTGGTAATGAATATTTGTGTAATAAACCCTAGACGAGAGCGAGTAGTGAAAGAGGTTGTGACAATGGGAGTGGTATGAGATGGATAATTGGGTGAGATGAGAGAGAGAGATATACATGTGAGATGGAGTGGTCTGAGAGGGACAATTGGATGAGATAAGAAAGAGAGAGATACAAGTGAGAAAAACATGGAAATAGTGAGTAAAGGTGTGGTGAAAATAGACACTAACAATGTGTGTATGTATATGTTATAAGATAAGAGTAATGAGTATGTATATGGACTCTGTTGATTGTACATGTATGTGGATATTGAAATGAGCTATTTTATGCGCTTATTAGATATGCATGCATGTATGAACTATTTCTTGTGTATGTTGAATATGCACGCATGTATGACGATTGACTGTGATTATGAAAATTGTATAATTCTAATTGTGGTACTTTCGTGGATGGATACGCTGATGTTGGTTGTTGATGGTTGTTGGTAATGAAGATAAGTGGGGTCACCAATGTTGATGATGGCTAGGGGTTACCGGAAGGGTAATGGTGTGAGTGTGTGGCCAGCTTATGGTCGATGATTACTGGAATTAGGGATAAGTTGGGTCACTGATATTGGTGATGGAATAAATGGGTAACAATGTGAATGGGTGGCCGATTAGGGGATCGAGTAGTGACATAAAGGGAGGTGAATGGGGTCGCTGATATTGGCAATGGCTGGGTGGTTTATCTGGAGAGTAATAGTGTGGGTGTATGGCCGGTTTATGGTCGAGTAGACAAGTACGTTGGGTACTGTTAGTGTGGTTTACTGTGGTGACCTCACATGATAAGAACTGGTAAGAGTTGACGATTTTCTTCGAAGATAGTTGTAATTACAGTAGGGGTAAACGAGTAAGAGAGAAGAGTGCGGGTAGGGAGGACAACATGGCTAATGGAAGTGGGAACTAAGAAGTGGGACACTGTAGTAGACATTTAACTGAATTTTCATACTATGTTTATGATTTGAATTTATTTTACTGAGCTTGTGTATGCTCATTACCTATAATTTACGGTTGATGTAGCACAGAAAACTGGACCAGAATTGCACTCTTCCGACCTTAACGTGTAGAGAAGACGGAACGAGAAGGATGGGTGGTGAATCGGAATACTTAAATAGTTAATAGAAAGTAGATTATTTTGAAATGAGAAATTGTGAAATTATAATTTATAGTATTGATAAATATACAATATAGTAACCTTACTAATTGAATGATTAGACTTGAACAATTTCTATGTATCGGAGTTTAGTGTTATGGCCGAAATTAGTTATGGAATAGTACATGTCATGCCACGTATGCTAAGGTTACACTTTTAGAATCGCTAAAGTCTTATCGCAAACTTAAAAAATTAATTTTGTGACTTTTACATTACTATTTCACCAACTCTTTCCATTTATCCTAATATTTCATTTAATTTTTTTTAAAACAATTTATTTCGAGTATTCACAAATTGTAATTATGCTAAAAAAAAATTAGCTCTCATACAACGTTCTCATTCACCGTAATAATGATAATTTGTTTTGACGAAGTTTAACTTAGTCAAATTTATATTAAATCAAATATTATAATTTAGTTACTGTTAATTTATAATATACACATAACATGTGAATTATACGTTTTTATACATTTGATAATCATAATTTTTAAATTAAGTACTAAGATCTTAGACCATTTTAAATATTTTATTTATTTATAAAATAATTTTTTATTAATTATTTATAAGTGCTTAAAAGGGAGAAGCCGACGGATTCATGAACTGGGTCAACCTAGCCCATTTAAGAAAATGGAGTAAGCTTTGTGGGTCTGATTTTATAGCCTATCGACCAAGTAATATTTATATTTCGATTTAAAAAATTAATTTGTGTATTAAAAAAATTAAAATTAAACAAAAAATGCAATACTAGTTTTGTGCATGCATGTGAAATTTCAATATTTAACAAATTAAATACAAAATTAACAAAATATATCAAAATAATTAATAAATTTAATTAAAATAATAAAAAATTAAAGTATAATAATTGTTACATTTCCATAATTAATTAAATAATTCACACAATAATTAATTTAATTATTTGCTAAGTTTGAGAAAAACATATGTGTCAATGGACTCTCGTATGGGTCCAATTTATGGATCAAATTATAATATTTAATCAAAGGCTTTTTTTTCAAAAATATTATATAATTTTTAAGTGAGGATAGATTCTTACTTTTGACCAACTTTATTCAATAATCAACTTGCTAATTGAATCTCGATTTTAAATTATCGTATTTATAATTTTAAATATCGAGTCGAATTGTTTGTATGTATATAGATATTTTATGTGATATTAAAATGAAAAAAATAAATTACAAAAAATTAAAAGTTATAAAGTATTTTATGTAGATATAGAAAGATGGGTAACATATACATATGTGTATGTGTATGTAAAGTTCAAATTGAAATCGAATTATATACTTATATATATATATATATGTAAAATAGTCTTATCCTAAGTGACATAGACACCCATATGTTCCACATTATTAATCAAATGGTCATTTTCAATATGGTCTATAAAATGCACCTAACCCACCTTCAAACCAAACAATTATATGCTATCAAAAAAATTGATGCCAAATCAATATCCTATATATACATATATATATATATGTATATATATGGATTTTGACATGTCACTACTATCAAATTTGGTCATCTTTGAAATTCAAGTTTTGGGTATAATCATAATAATTTTTATTTATATAATAGAGAATAATTTCTTCATATCAATAAATATTAAATTTCCTTGTATATTTCTTTAGGAATAATTAATGTGATAAGTAATTATCACTTAATACTTGTCATAATAATGCAATTATTAAAGTTTATCTTAACAAATTAGCATTAAGTAAGATGAGATATATAACAAGTCACCTAACTATATCAAAATAAAATTTGTATGTTACTAATTATTATTTAATTTATAAAAAGTTTGGTGAATTTAAATTAAATTATATTTTTATATATTTTATTATTTATTAATTATTTATATTATGTTATAATTAATGCTGAAAATTATTTATTTTATATCATAAAATAGATCATTTATATTGTATTATTAATTGTTATTTAATTTAATAATTAGTAGGTTCGTTTATTATAAAAAAAAATTGTGAGTTTAAACCGAATTATAAGTTTATGTGTTATTATTTAAAAATTATTTATATTGTGTTATAATTGATATATATATATATATATATTGATTATTTGTAAAAAAAAAAAAAATTGGAATACTTTCTCAACGAACCATTATAAAGTAGAACTTAATGTTGTGTGTGTATATATATATATGTATATATTTATATTATTGTTATATATGTAAATCACCTTTATATAAATTATTATGAAAATTAAAGTGCATACCACAATCTTCCAAAGGAAGCGACAACAACTCTTAATTTCATATACATATATATCTATATATATATATAATTATATACTGAAAAAGAAAGGTTGTATACTTAGAAGAGACCCACATCCTAGAATATATATTCATATATATATATATATATATGTATATATATAAATACAGGAGACAAATAATTATTTTTTTAAAAATCAATAGTGAGAATCTTAAAACAATATTATATTACTAAAATTGCTAGTTATGATAGTAATGAAACTGATATGATTGGATACCTAAATTTGTGAAATTTAATTAATATATAATTAGCAATTATATAAAATGCAATTAAGTTATTATAAAGTACTTCAAATTCATTATTTATATTTATATTAAGTTTGAAGACATTACATTTTTATATTCATACATACATACAAAATATAATTTTTAAAAGCTTCAAACTCCAACAATGAAATGAAAACTTACTTATATTACTTTTTTATCTAATAAGTCTACAAAATATTCGTATTCACAATTTAAAAGTTTAACATAAAATTTAATAACTTATATAATATATACAATATTTATGTATATAAAATATGAAGTTAAATAAAAATATATAATAAAAAATTATAATGTATAATTTTAGAGTTTATAATTAATTAAATAAAAATATAATCATACTCACATTCTATTTATATATTTAAAATATTTAAATATATAATTACTATATATTATCATATTAAATAAATAAATTATTATTATTTATATTATCACATTTTATTAAATATAAATTTATTTTTTTAAAAAACCCAATTTTACTTTCATATAGATATATATATATATATATGAGTGTAAAGAAGGTATGAAACTTGTAGAATTATCAACCACCATCACTATATGAAGTTTAATTATTATTATTATTAGTAATTGCTAGTGGCATTATTATGCATTGCCGTGTACGAGTTTTGATGGGCAAGCTGAAAGCCATCGAGTACACTACTTTCCACCATTGTGTAATACATATATCTATATATATATATATGTATATATATGTATATATATAGGAAATATACGTGTATATTGTACATTTTATTATATATATGTGTATATGTATATATATATATATAAGGACATGTTTGGTGTCTTTCATTGAGATACATATTTGCTTGCGGTCCAAACAAAGACAAAATGGTCACACAAACTCTTGCTTGGTGGGTCCCAGTTTATTTTGGGCCCCATGTACACGTGTCCACGTTCTTTAGCGATCTCCCGTGCCGAATCTCGTAGTAGATAACAAAACGAACCGTTTTTATCCAATGAATACAGACAAAACGCAGCGTTTTATTCCGGCTTGTAATTTATTTTTCCCATTTAATTGTAATTTGTACTATTTTGGTTTTTCCAAAATGAATGCTGTAATTTTCTCGTAAAAAGATTTAGTGTGAATGGAGATAGAAACAAAGATTATTATTATTATTATTTTTTTTTATAAAAAATATATTTTCTAGTGTAGATTAATATTATATACAATAATAGAAATAAAATAATTTTTTTTATCTAAATATGTTTATATTACTTTATCAAAATTTTGAAAAATAACAAAGACTATTAGTTTTTTTCTTTAATATATTATTATATTTGATATTGTTATATTTTTTAAAAATAAATATTTATGGAAATTTCATGTGGGTATTTCAGTTTCTCAAGAACTGTAATGGCGATTTCCTTTTTATAAAAAAGTAAGAAATCTAATTGAATTTAGAGAGAGAAAATTCCAAAAAAGAAATATTTTTCAGCAGTATCATGGCGATGCTTGTATATAAACACTCATGTATGTATTTGTGTATTGCAAAAGCAGCAATTCAAGAGTATATCTGCGAATTTACGTCCACGTCTTCTTCGTCTTCTTCTTCATCTTCTTCTCTCTCATCTCTCAGTTTCTGCTCTGTACACCATTTCTGCTTTGTCTCTTCTTCGTTCTGGGGAGCACTGTCAGAAAAATTTCTGCTCTTATCTCTAATGGTACGTCCTTTTATCTCTATCTTTCTTCAGTTCTCCCTCCTGCTTTTTGCACCACCTTTGCTCATTTCGCTACATGGGGTTGGTGTTGTTCCGTCTTGGATTCTGTCGTGTCAGATTTTTCTTGTCTGATTTTATTTTTTCAGCTTTGATCAAAATTTTACCTTCTTTTTTTAACAGGTTCTGTATGCGTGATTCGAGTTCCGTGGCTATGGTTGCGAAATGTCTATTCTGGTTTCTCTGTTTAGAATCTGTTCGATAAAAGGTTTCTGACGCATTATTCCTCAGTGTTCTTGATCTGTTTGAACATATTTTCCTCTGTTTTCTATTGTTTCTATGGATTGGATATGTTTGTTAGCTTTTCTTTTCTTTTTTTTTTTTCTGGGTTCTCTTCCTTCTTCAACCTTGTTGGTTTAATGGCAATTTTTAGGTCTTTTCTTCTCTTTGTTTATCTAAATCTCTTGATTAGAAAGCTATTGCAGATAGGATTATTCATGTGGGTTTTAACAGAATGCTCTGTTTTTATTCCCTGTTTCTGCAGAATCTAAAGCACCAATTTTTTTATGATTCTTTTTTTTTATTCTTCTTGAGTTAATTTTATACTATTTTAATCCATTTTGTCTTCGTATTGTGAATAACCAATCTGCAAATTTTGGATTCTATTGTTAGGTTCTTTGAAATCCAGAAATGGAGAAGAAGATGGATACCAATTCTCCCAATGGAGTTCTAGAGGACTATTTCAGGAGTGAAGAATTTGAAACAAGTTCTTCCAAGCCACCTTCCACAGACTCAGCCAATGAACAAAACTCAAAAACATCGTCTCGATTTCGAGCATTTGTACAACTTTTAAGAAGTGGATCAAAGAAATCTCTGGCTACTTTGCATCCCCTAAGTGCCCTTAAGAGCTCCATAAGAAGGAGCAGCAGCATGAGGGAGAACAGAGGGTTTTCCTCTCATTTAGACTCTGACCCATACAATCTGAATTCGCCAAGGAGGAATTTCAGTCTCTCTGAGCTCCAACTTGCTACAAACAACTTTGGGTTTGGTATGTAAAAATTCCCTAATGGATTTCATAATTGATTTTCCTTTACTGAAATTATAAATAATAAATAAAACCAAGTTGGAGAATTCAATAATGTGTTACCAAGTTGGTAAGAGTGAATTCTTTGAATTTTTTTCTGTAGAAAACTTGATTGGGAAAGGTGGCTATGCTGAAGTTTACAAAGGGCGTTTGCAAAATGGGCAGCTTGTGGCAATTAAAAGGCTAATAAAAGGAACTGCTGATGAAATAGTTGCAGACTTTCTTTCTGAGCTAGGAATCATGTCTCATGTAAATCATCCTAATATTGCTAAGTTACTTGGTTATGGGATTGAAGGAGGAATGCACCTTGTTCTTCAATTCTCTCCAAATGGAAGCTTAGCTTCTCTGCTTTATGGTTAGTCAATCATCTTTAGACAATCAAATCTGAAGCTTTCTTCATTTGGGGCTTCCCAGTCCAGTCAAATCATCATTTTTCTTGACAAAATTATAAAAGTTTCTTTCTTTGCAGGTTCAAATGAGAAACTCAAATTGGATATCAGATACAAAATTGCATTAGGTGTTGCTGAGGGTTTACTTTATCTTCACGAGGGTTGTCATAGGAGAATCATACACAGAGATATCAAGGCTGCAAATATTCTGCTTACCGAAGACTACGTGCCTCAGGTGCCCTTTACGCCAATCTTGTTAAAACTTGTGTCTTTGCTAGAGACTAAGGAATGACAATGGTTATCAGCTTGATTACTCTTTATGGTTATGTGTTATTCTTTGGGCGAATTCGTCACTAAAGTTTCAACGAATTGCAAGTAGTCGAAACAGTTAGAACTTCTGTTTCCACATTTAGTATGATGAACTAAAGGAGCTTGTTTGTGTAATGCTGAATTCTGATTCTTCTCATTTTGATTCCTCATACCCTTTTAGCTTTTTACACAAAATTTTCGGGGTTTTGTCTATCAGATTTGTGACTTTGGGCTTGCAAAATGGCTACCAGAACATTGGACTCACCACATTGTATCAAAATTTGAAGGCACGTTTGGGTTAGTAAACCTATAAATTACCTCCTCTGATGTTGCCCGTTAGTAAACTATGTATCTGATATTGTTAGTTAACATGACAGATATCTTGCTCCAGAGTATTTGATGCATGGCATAGTAGACGAGAAAACTGATGTTTTTGCATTTGGTGTATTGCTTTTGGAGCTAGT